CTCTTCGTCTCTCTCTCTCTCTCTTCCTCTCTCTCTCTCTCTCTCTCTCTCTCTCTCTCTCTTCCTCTCTCTCTCTTTTCTCTCTCTCTCTCTCTTCGTCTCTCTCTTCGTCTCTCTCTCTCTCTCTCTCTTACAGTCATTCTAAACCTCATTACCTTTTTTGTCAATTTGACTTTAACAAAGATAAAAAAATAACGTTTTAACTTTTGCTAATATATGGATTTTTTAAGTTGTCCAGGACGAGTATTAAACGCTTGGAGATAGATGTTGTGATGTACAAACCTACACATACTGACACACGTGTTTATTCGTGTAGATTCATTATAATATGTATGTATACATATTGTCAGGGGTTTGTTTTTATGGTCTTAGAATCCCCTTTTTGGTTCTTTAGAATGATCTCTGGATTAGCCACTCGAGGAATAAAGTAAAACTTGATTTACACAAATACAATATATTCATAATTATTTACAATTGTTCCCAAATCAATATTACAACTGCCAGGTTGCAATCAGGCGAGTTCGTTGCACTCGATAGTTGTTGGGCATCGAGAATCACAGGGCCAAGATGTAGGGCACCGAAAGTCGTAGGCACCGAGAATCACAGGGCCAAGATGTAGGGCTCCGAGAGTCGTTAGGACAAGGTGGTAGAGCACTGCTAGGGTACGATCTGCTTGGCTTGTCCATAAATATAAAGAGGCTGAAAAAACAAAGTAATGGATACAAGGTTTTGCCAAATGTACATATATTGAAATAGCATTACAATTTTGTAGCCATGATATAAAATATAGGTCGGTGTACTCACATGTGATCAGTCGAGAAGATCGGAGCTAAGTGACTGACCATGCTGAGGGGTCACCGTCATTGCCTCGGTGGCGGGAACTAAACGCCTCCCATACACAGACATACGCAACAAACAAACAACCAAATAACCGATCGATAGTTTGGAATATCGATTAGGGAAAAAAACCATCACCATGAGTTAACAACCCTTTACATAGCCCCCCAATTTAACTTAAAATCGTAAGATTTTAATGAAGTGGGGTTTTACACTAATCGATAATTACCGGACATCGACTAAGGAGATCAGCTCCTACATTATCAACACCTTTGATATACTGAATTATAAAAGAATATGCCTGCAAGGCGAGAGACCAGCGCATAAGTCTGCCATTACTATTCTTCATATTCAGTAGATATGTTAATGGCTGTTGATCCGTTTGTATAATGAATTCTTTACCGTACAAGTAAGATTTAAACTTTTCTATTCCCCAAACTATAGCGAGGCATTCGCGTTCTATAACTGCGTAACGCGTCTCGCGGTCTAATAGTGCGCGGCTGGCATAGGCGACAGGCATTAATTCTCCATTCATTTCCTGCAGAAGGATTGCACCCAAGCCCGTGTCAGAAGCATCAGTTCTCAGAAAGAATTGCTTGTTATAATCGGGCAATGTGAGAATTGGGGGCGTTAATTAATTTATCCTTCAATAAATTGATCCTTGCAATCTGTTCATCATTTAATATTAACACATTACTACTATATCTTCTCAGCAAGACATTAATAGGAGATACTATATCCGCAAAATTAGGGATAAATTTACGGTAGAACGAGACTGTACCCAAGAAAGACCTTAGTTGCTTTTTTGTTTTAGGGAGAGGCATATCTATTATAGCTTTAATTTAGCATCAACAGGTCTTAAACAATTATCACCCAATGTGAAACCTAGATACTTAATTTTTGTGTAGCCAAAGAAGCATTTATCAGGACCTGCAGTTAATCCATGTAAACGGAGCCTGTTCAGCAAGTTAGTAAGGTCGATTAAGTGATCTTCCCACTTAGCATTGTGAACAACAATGTTATCAAAGTAACAATCCGTGTTATTTAGACCCTTTATTACTTTCCTCATTAATCGCACGAATGTCGCGCATGCGGTTTTCAATCCGAACGGCAACCTCGCAAACTGCATTAAACCGTACTTGGTTGCAAAGCAGTATATGGCTTAGATCGTTCACTTAAGGGAATTTGCCAATAACCTTTACATAAATCGAGTTCTGTGAAGAACTTATCTGATGTGAAGTTTCCCAGCGCTTCGTCCATAAAAGGCATCGGTTCAGCATCGAATTGACTAATATTATTCAGAGCTCTGAAATCAACACAGAACCTCCAGGTGTTATTCGACTTTTTCACGAGAACTACGGGCGAACAGTACGGCGAATCGGATGGTTCGATCACTCCAAGTTCTTTCATTCTCTGTACTTCTGCCTCAAATGGTTTAATCAAATGGTGAGGAATCGCGTAAGGCTTGCGGTGTACGGGTTCGGTGGTAGTTAATTTGATATCGTGCGTTACCGAGCTAGTTAGTCCAGGGTTATCTGAAAATACATCTGGGTATTTATCAAGTAGGTTCCTTAGCTCTTTTATTTGATCAGGTTTTAGATCTGCACCGATATTAAAGTTAGTTACCGTATTGCTCATTACAGAGACATCGCACGTGTCATCACTAGCAATATCATCATCTACTACACATATCTGGCAAACATTAGGCGTTTCAATGTCCTCCCTTTTAATGAACTTTTTCATCATGTTGATATGGTAAAGTTTGGCTTTACCCTTTACTTTAATTAAGTAATCTACTCCGTTATCGTGACGTTTAATAACGGTGTATGGGCCTTTCCACTGCATAGTGAGCTTGTTATGCGTTGAAGGAAGCAAAACGAGCACTTCGTCGCCAACGGCGAGCGAGCGCGCTTTAGCGCCGCGATCGAAGTAGGCTTTATACAGATTACTATTGATCTTAGCATGAGATGAAGCTAACTGAGCAGATTCCTCTAATTTAGTTCGAAGATCTAACACGTACTGATAGGTGTTCTTTACATTACTGTCCAGATTATCGTTGGTCCACAGTTCATACAAAATTGTAAGTGGTCCTCGAACCCTACGGCCATACAACAATTCAAAAGGAGAAAACTTTAAAGTGTCATTAGGAATCTCACGGTAGGCAAATAGCACCGAGGGAATGTATCGGTCCCAGTCTTTTGGTTGTTCCATACATAGTTTCCTTAACATGGATTTCAAAACTGCATGAAACCGCTCTACTGTGCCATTGCAACAAGCGTGATACGGGCTTGTATAGAGAGCCTTTACACACAAAAGTCTATTTATCTCGTTCATAAGGTCGGACTTGAACTGTGTGCCGCGGTCTGACAAGATTTCTTTAGGAATACCGACACGCGAAAATATATCAATTAGGTTTTCAGCGACAGTTACCGTATCGATACTGCGTAGAGGAACAGCTTCAGGAAAACGAGTAGCGCAGTCTATTAGAGTTAAGATATACCGATGGCCTCTTTCTGAAGGTGATAACGGGCCTACGAGATCTATGGCAACGCGAGAAAACGGTTCATTTATCACGGGCATGGACACTAACGGTACTTTCTTGACTTTGCCTTTAGGGGAAGATCTTTGACACATTTGACATGAACGACAAAAGCGCTTTACATCGGCACCCCGCGCCTGGCCAAAAGAACTTGTAAAATATCTTCTCAGATGTTTTACGATGCGAAAAATGTCCTGCAACAGGGGAATCGTGTGCCGTTGACAAGATGATATGTCTAAACTTACGAGGGACAACTAATTGCTTCATACCAATCTCATTTTCATTTTTACTTTGAAGACAAATTCTATAGAGGAGATCGTTAACTTTTTCATACTTTACTGATCTATGTTTGACATTTACTATACTCCCTCTCTCTACTTTTGATCTTATGTCATTTAGAGTTATGCATTTGTCTTGTTCTTCCATCATCTCTTGTTTTGTGATATCTTTAATTATAAGTTCTGGTACATTTAAGGCACGAGGTTTAGCAAGGTCAGCCATTTTACCTCTTCGAGTCTGAATTTCCATGACTAAGTTATCGGCACTTGCAATTTCATGTTTATCAATCGCTGAAGTTTTGCCATTATTAGTCTTGCCCGTTAAATCTAATGCTGGCATCTTGACCCCGGGTACCATTCCGATTAGTATGTCAGTGAATTTGATGGGTGCCGCAACGGCATTCACCCATCCAGTCAAAAAGCGACTCTTTATGAAGCACCGTATTTCGGGAAAAGTCTTGCCGACACCTAGGTAATCGTATAGTGTAATGGTCTTTCGTCGTTTTACATACGGGGGAATCAGCGAATCTTTTACTATAATAGTTGAACATCCAGAATCAAAGAGAGCATTAACAGGTTTGTTAAATAAAATCGCATCGTCGGTAACACTGTTCTGCGGAGTAAGATCCGATTCAAAAACGAAGTTAACCTTAGATGACCCCAACCGCGATCTTTTTAATTCAGGACAATTAGGTCGAATGTGCCCCGTAGCTTTGCAATTGTGACATACCACGTCGGACTTTGCGTCGCGCCTTTCGCTCGTTTCTTCTCTCGCAGAGAAGGTCTTCCGCGGTTTAATATTGCGATGTGCAGCTCTGAATCTGTCGGCAGCTTGTGCCATATCAAGAGTGTTGTCAAATAATCGCTCTTTTAAAAATATCCGCAAATCTAAAGAGCAGTTGCTCAGCAATTGGTCTCTAACAAGGAAGTCACAAAGGTCGTTGAAATCCTCCCTCACTTCACTAAGACTTATCCAATTTCTTACGTACTGTTCCATTCTAGTAACTAGTTGAACATACGATTCTGTCTCGTTCATTTTGCTTTCCCGGAATTTCTTACGATAAGACTCGGCATCTAAGCAATAAATTTTAAGCAAGGCATCCTTAACCAATTCGTAGTTAGAAAGAACATTATTAGGCAAATTAATATAAGTTTTTAAGGCTTTTCCTGTCAATTGTGCTCCAAGGTAAATGTGATAACGTTCTACCTCCCAATTCTGTATTTCTGCAATCTTCTCAAAACGCGCAAGATAATCATGAATATCATCTTTGCTCTCACAAAAGTTAGGCAATTTCAAATCTGGATAAGCAGACTGACCTGCATTAACTACGGAACCTTGGCTTCCAATGCCCAATTTAGCTAATTCTAACTCATGCTGGCGTCTTTTCCTCGCTTCTTCTGCCTCAAATTCTAATTTCTTAAATTCCCTTTCTCTCTGCCTTTCCTCTCTTTCTCTTTGCTTCTCTTCCCTCTCTACTTCTCCTTTATATCTCTCCTCCTCACGTGCAACTAAATTATTTATATCTGCTGGAGAAATTCCCGCATCTTGGGCGGTCTTTACAATATCTAAGATATTAAAAGTGGACATTATTATTCTAAAGAAAAGAACTTTTTTTTTTTCCAACTAAAAAGAAAAAATGCCAGGGGAACACTATTAAACAATAAAGTTTAATATCTAAATTAATATTAATTAGTGCTCAGTATATTACTGATTGCACCAAGTAACTGAAGTCGTTAATGGTAATGGCAAAAATACGACGCCTTACAATTAAGACAAGGTGACGTCACGAACGAGTAACAATCACCGGGCATACCAGTCGTGAATTATAAATGAATTTCAAGACCAAACCCTACCATGTAATTAGGCATACACACTAAGCAATCGAACATGGCATTAATCGACGAAAACACGTCGCTTGTACGAGTGTGGATGGCAAGTGGGATTCGACAACTCAAACCTTCACAAGTATGACACGAATGTAGGAAAATTACAACTACACACACTCATCACACATCCAACACCAGACTTAGACCATACAGTAGTCCTCACATCCTCCATTTAGTTACCTCTCCGCTCAGCACAGCCGGTCACTTTCTCCGCCCTTCTCGTTACAAACTGGGGATACACAAAGTTAATTAATAGCATCTGCAATCAAACCTCGAGTATTGGCTAATGTGGATCATCCTACTCACTGCGCCACTTTGTCAGGGGTTTGTTTTTATGGTCTTAGAATCCCCTTTTTGGTTCTTTAGAATGATCTCTGGATTAGCCACTCGAGGAATAAAGTAAAACTTGATTTACACAAATACAATATATTCATAATTATTTACAATTGTTCCCAAATCAATATTACAACTGCCAGGTTGCAATCAGGCGAGTTCGTTGCACTCGATAGTTGTTGGGCAT